ATAAACGCTGTTATGCTATATGTTAACAACATATTATTATTGCAGATAGTGCGGGTACAGTTCCTCCAACTTGTTCAGTATTCAATAAAATATTTTTTTATGAGAGAGAGAACGTGGCGAGCAAGCTTGGCGGTTCAGCTCATGTAAATTGATAACCGCCACCGATGGACATTTGCAACACCTGTAAGGTTGCAAATGCGTCGCTGTAGCACGAATGGACAGGTCCGTCCGGCGACTATCACGACATCACAAAATACCGGCGTGAACTCGAAATTTTATACTTCTTCGTTTCGTCTGGTAAGTAGCTGAGGCCCACTTTATTAAAAGGTGGCAATGCATCTGCAACCCAAGGGGAGTTGCATATGTCCATGTCATATGGCACTATACTCGCACTATCCACCACATATTGCTATTATATTCATTATAGTCTATATCAACATTTCGACACCTGGCCCCGACCACTACTTCAATCTGACTCCTTTTTTTATTAATCTCCTGGCCGCCGGGCAGAACACTAGTCTAGGAACTGTCTTACGAATTGTTGTCATTATTGTACATTTCTATCGATAAATCAATTTTGTTTTACAGAAATAAATAAAAAGTAACTGGAGGACCGAATTCGCTCCCGAATCTACGCACATACTAAATTTCATAAAAATCGCTGAAGCCGTTTCCGAGATTCCGATTATATATATATATATATATGGACAAGAATTGCTCGTATAAAGGATATCATTACATACATAGAGAAAACGAGTCTTAAAAATTTAACGTAACGTAACACTATCATATCTTGATTCACTGTCGTAGGGTCACGCAACAGAAGTACCACGACCTCACAGAAGACCGGCGTGAAGTGGAAGTGTTACTATCAGGTCAACTGCCAGCCCGCTTGCCACATATCTATTTAAAAACAAATCATTTTATAGTCATTATTAACCGAATTGTTGTGAACATAAAATTAAATAGAGATTGTGTTCGTGCTGTTCGTACTATTTATAAACTGTAATAAAAAAATTAACAACGTTTATTAAATTCAAAATCAATCGATAGGAATAACTCTCGAAACAAGTAGTTTTGGGAGTTATTTCTATCGATTGATTCGAGTGCTTTGCTGAAGTTGAGTTATTCAACAATGAAGATTAACCGTTTACGTAAATACCGTATATACGTAAAATATTTAAAAGAATTACATAAAGTCTTAAAAATCAGATATTTGAAGTATGTGTTTTTTGTTTTATTCATTTGTATTATTTATACATATTGGTTTAATTATGCTTTAGTCATTATAAAGTTGGGATCAATGGTTACTGAACCTACTTTTTTTAAATCTGACATTGTTGTTCCCGACGCGACACGTCAAAAGTCAAAATGATAGTTGTTTAGATAAAACATTTCTTTATAATAAATACTATGTAATAATAATAAGGATGGCCTCTTCAAAAGATAAACAATCTGAAGTGTCTTCAGCTACGTCTACAGCCTCAGTGAAGTCACAATTTCTCGAACGATCTCCGTCCCTTTCTTCAACTAAAGAAGACAAATGGCCGGAATTGTTATTATCCCGGCCCGACAAATCTTACTACTATACCACTAAATGTAAGTATGTTTTTGTGAATTTCCTTTGCTTTTCCGAATCCTCTGTATGTATTTTTTACAAATTAGAAGAACAATTATATAGGTATCTGTGAAATATTATAGTTAATACATAATTTTTACCCCATTTACTTTGTGGTATAATTCTGATTCCTTTAGTTTTTACTTTGCATTTTATATCCCATCAAGACAATAATTTTACTATATCCAATCACTTACAATAACTCTTCTTAAATATTTCCTACAAAAAATTGTTATGCTGTTAAAAATATGTTATACATACTGCTGTGTCCAAAAGTTTGTTGCATATATCATGATACTTAGTTTTTTTTTTTTTAGATTAATTAATGTGTTAAAAAACAAATTAAATTTTGGATGCAAAAAATTATATTTCTTTCAGTAAAACAATATTGTGTTAAATGAACGGTGAAAGTTCCTTTAGCTAGATAGCTCAAGACTTTTATAGTCTTTTGCTTGTATATCATCCCATTCTTGGAACAAGTGGCATTTTAAATTATCTTTGTTTTTTTTGTATGATACCTGACTTTGCGCTTTAATAAACCCACTTAAAGTTCTAGCAGCTTTAAGTCTATAAACTGGGCAATTGAACCTCACCCGTGTTTAATAGTTAGTACAAATAATTATGGACCATAATCATTGTCTACCTGGTTAAAATCTGAAATTTAAAAAGTTATGTATTATCAGATTTATTGATATTATGAAATTTTGGTGCATGAAGCTCACCACTTGTCTGTTTAATTCTTCCAACCACAAAATATTGTTTTATTAAGGCCTTTTTTGAGGATCACTGTATTTTTTTTCTTTGCAGCGTTTTATGCCAGCTTCCTCGTTCTTTAAGTAGTATAGTACCAATTGAATTTGTTTTTTAATTAATCCATTTTTAATAATTCTCAAATAAGCCTTTGGTCCTCACCAAATGTTGTTCACACCTGTCATATGTGCACAAATTAGTGCCAAGCATGATAAAATGCAAGACATTGTTTTAACAGTACAATTTGATAAATAACAATTAATTCACTTTTTAATTATTAATAAATGGTCCTGACATTTTCAACACATCTTATTAGCTTTGCCTCACAATTCCAAACACATTAAGAATGTCTTTAATAAACCAACTGCAAAAACTAATCTTGTGATGACTCCGTGGCACAGTGGCCAAGATATTGGCTTCGGTGTCGGAGGTTGTGGGTTCGATTCCCACATGGGACAACTATTTGTGTGACCCACATATAGTTGTTTGGCATCTGGGTGTTCACTGAAATTTATGTTTGTATAACATCCTTACATCACAGGATAAAGTTATCCTAAAGTAAGGGCAATGTTGTAAAAAAAATTTTGGTCCCAATTCACCTGTTTGTGAATATGCAATGATTTTAATGCACTTTTTATCATAGTTGATTATATTTTTTTAATGATTTCTTTAAATATTTATGAAAAGAAAATAAAGTGGTATGTACTATTCTTTTAAATCAGCTCATTTTATGCAAAATTATTTAATTCTTTATATCAGTACTAGTTTTAAGCTAAGTACCGCTTGTTAATTACTCCAAAAATTTTAATTTAGCTTATATCTATTGTATCCACTCCCTATAGAATAAAATAGATGTTTATTCAATTCAGTTTTTTTTTTTTTTTTTTCAAATTAAGTGTTGACTCCATCTATTAGATACAGAAGGACCTGTGTCAGAGGAAGCCACTCTTCCAAACATGACAAAAATGTTGTAACTATACATTATTTGATTTATACAACATATTAAATAAAACATTATTTGTGTAATGATTTTTTTTTAAATACAACCTTGTATAAAAGTATTAATCAAAGATATATAATTATCTGTCTTAATTATATTTACATATTGAGAGTCCTGACAGCTCAGTGTCCGGGTGATCGCCTTAAATTTAATAATACTCTAGCAACCTGAGTTTTATCCCCCATGCTGGCACGGAAGGAATGATGAACATAATGAAGAAACCTGAATATTTTCAAAATAACAAAAAACAATATTTTGAAGATGTGTGAAGTCTGCCAATCAGCAGTCGGGCCCGGACTATGCCTCTTTTTTTTACGTACGAAAAATCCTTTATGGATTCCCTGCCACTGGATGGGGGAAGGGCACGGGTACCCACCACAAAATCTATGTTGCACCTTTCTGTGTTGCATCAACCGCGGACATGGTTGGAACACAAAGACGCAATCTTCCGTGGACTATAGCCTAATCTGTACAGAGGAGACATTTTGTAATATTTCATTTATAGTATAAATCTTGAATTGAATAAGACTCAATATTTATGTTTGCATAATAGATTTGCTAACAACCTCTTATTGCCTTCCTAACATGAATCATCAAATTAGCTCTTATATCTATGGAGCCATAAAGGACTTCTTTTACACAAGTCAGAGTCCAAACAACAAAAATTCTTCATGCATGCCTTTGGAATTTCAACTCACCATCTCATATAGCAAGTAAACTTCTCAACCACAATCAGTCTATGGTCAGTAAGCCTTATATTTGCTTCAAATAATAACAGGTTTGTCTCTAATTAAGTTTTCACCATCATTAAATAGCAAAGGGTATATATAATAGGTAGTTTACTTAAAAAGTGAGATAAATTTTTGTTATAATTATTTACAATATTTTTAAATTAAATTTGAATCTGAGTAAAGAATAGGTACCATGCAATGCAGTGTTGTGGACTACCAAATTAATCGACAAGATATTTTGATTGCTATAAATATATAAGTATTCAATATTTCAATGTGGTAAATTATAACATGGAAAATTAAACATATCACATAATTATCCGTCCACAGCTAGATCAATTATTCATAACTAAACGAAATAAAGTTTAAAAAGAATATTATAATGAAATTTCTATAAACAAACCCTTCTGGCCCTATATGTCAAAGTGATGTACTGTGTTTTAACATCGGCATTAATTTGATACCAATTTTTTTCCTTATAGTTTATTTACCTATGTTTAATATTGAAATCATAATTTAAACAGTGTTTTCGTTAGTGTTTACCTTTTAAACTTTTTTCGCAAACCAAACAATAGATGGCGGCACTTGTACAGCAAGTATTGATTTCTGCCCGCACATGCATAACACGACGCCGGAAAATCAATATTCCTTCTGAACGTACTGGAAAAACCATTTCGCGGTGACTTGTCCCTTGCAACAAATACTCCAGTGTTTTGATCGAAATAACAATTCCGGCGCTTTCGCACATGGAATAGATTCAACAGAAGTGTAGCGATATTGAAAACGAAAGTTTTTTAACGTTTTGTAATATCAGTCAAGTTTGAAATGCGTAAAAAAGAGTGATCAAGATTACGAATAGAGCGTGTGCTGTTTCGCTTCATTGTTTTTTTGCTAGATTATTATGCGTTCGCTCAGCGCCGTTCATGGGGTAGAACCCTTGCCTGATTTGGGCGTACCGACCGGAATACAGCGTACCAACGGGAACAACGACGGAGATATGGCCGGTGCCCAAGATACGATATATCTGTGCAACTTCCGCGTGTCAGTGGACGGGGAATGGCTTTGCCTTAAGGAGTTACACGACATTGAGATGCAGGACTCGTTCACACGCCCTACAGAAAATGGTGCGATCACATCACCGGACGATCCGATGCATTCTTTGATGGGTAATTTGTGAAAATGGATTAGTAGACCACGGTTTTGGCGTGGTGGAGTTTTTTTCACGATAAGAATGCATGCGGATTTTCAATCATACAGTTTTAATCACATTTATAACATATTATTTATTTTCACATAGCTATATTGACTATATTGACGTACATACAACATTCCGTTTCTCTCAATTAGCTAGTTGATATTGGTCCGTAGCAATTTTGATGTATTTTTTACTAATAGCGTTAGTGTAGCGTTCCCCCTTTTTAATATAAGTACTACGAAACGATTTATAGTTTAATAATTAGTGATAAAAACCTCAAAGTGCGCAACAATTTAATGAGTATTTCGCCGGACTTTTTCTTCTAGCCCGCGATCCCGTCGTGATAGAGCGGAGCAATCTCGTCAACATCTCAAAGTTAATCGTGAAAGAGCTGATTGAGCAATCGCTCCGCTATGGGAGGATGCTGGACAGCGACCACTTGCCCCTGCATCACTTTTTCATCGTCCTCGAACACGTCATGCGTCACGGACTCAAACCGAAAAAGGTTAGTGTGTGCGACAGATCAAAATTCACTGTTTTTTTTCTTTTTTTGTAAAAAGATGACAAGCGAACTGGCTGGTTCACCTGACGTTAAGTGATAACCGACGCTCATGGACATTTGCAACACCCGTAGGGTTGCACATGCGTTGTCACTTTTTAAAAAAGTGGTCGCCGGTTAACTCATTAACCAGGCGAAACGCAGAATTATAAAACTTATCTGTGAGGTCGTGGTGCTTACCCGGACGGACCTGCCCATTCGTGCAACAGCGAAGACTTGCGTGGTCTCACCAAATTAAATACAATATATACCCCAATTAATAAAGAATAAATATTTCTATGTAAATAATAATAATAGTCAAACGCAATTTTAGGGTCTTCTTGGACCAAAGAAGGAGTTATGGGATATACTTCAAATGGTTGAAAAATACTCGCCGGAGGCTGCCGATATAACTGCCAGCGTGAGAGACTTGCCGACTGTGAAGTAAGTCACTGCTTCGTTAAATTCAATTGTTATACATTTTATTTTTAAATGTTAGTGCTACGAAATTATCAACGATATTTGTGATGACAGTTTATAATGACATCTGCCGCTTACTGCACCTTCCAATTTTGAAAAAGTAAAACAAAAGTAGCAGCCTATACAAGTTCCATTGCTGAGCAAAGGCCTAAGCTGCACGAAGGGTATTGGGCATATTACACGTCGTAGCATCAGACGTAGCGTTATCTTCCAAATATTTGTTTTGTTATTATGTCGAAAATATGCAGGTTAAGAGGCACATTAAAGAATATATGCAAGGGCAATTCAGCGCTTAAAATTGACACTCATTGGTGCCGGCACCGGGATTTGAATTCGGGTCGCTCATGTATATCGAACTGGCTAGTTCGCCCGCGGCTTCGTTCGCGTTGTATCCTTTAACTAAATATTTGCTTCTATTTAATATTTTCTTTTTTATTAAAAAAAATCCAATTAAAACATAGCCTATGTCCTTTCTCAGGCTCTAGTCTATCTTTGTACCAAATTTCATTTAAATCCGTTCAGTAGTTTTCGCGTGAAAGCGAGACAGACAGACAGAGTTACTTTCGCATTAATAATATTAGTAAGGATTATAAACGAGCGCACACTAAGCTATCACGGCTCTAAATTTGAAAACAGTGACAAATGTAACGTCATGTTCCAGAACTGCCATGGGTAGGGCGCGCGCTTGGCTGAGGCTTGCGCTGATGCAGAAGCGCCTCGCTGACTACCTCCGCATTCTGCTGGAGCGTCGCGAGGAAACATTGGAGGAGTACTTCGAGCCCCACGCGCTGATGTTGAACGAAGAAGCGGTAATCATCACCGGTCTATTGGTCGGCCTCAACGTGGTCGATTGCAATTTGTGTGTCAAGGTGCGTCTTAAATTGTTCTCTAGTCTCTGAACGTATCTTCGATGAATATGAGCGCTAACACAGACAAAGGCCTTTAGTGTCAAGGTGCGTCTAAAATTATAGTCTGATATCTATCTCGTTTTCGATGCATTTCAACGCTAACACAACGTCTTCGAAGATAACTTACAAACGCTGTCCACTAAAGAAGGCATTAAGACTCGTCAGCCGTCTTACATAACGGTTAAAGCAATACTGCTAATAGGCAATAATATTATCTATTATTAATATTCATACACCGCTCTGTTTGGTCTTTGACAAGGACGTTAAAGTTAACCGCACGCGAGTGTAATATGATTACAGTTGAATACGAAGCAAATAGCATCATTCTCTTAATGTATGCGTTTAATGTTTATTTTATAAACATTTACCGACTTTGTGAGTCACGTATATTACGCACATTGTTTATCTAAAAACTACTTTTCTCTAATATATAGTAAAATCTATGTGGGTAACTATGTCTGTTTATCTTAAACATACTGAAATAATAATGTAATTCGGTTAATTATTTGATGACTAAACAATATAACCGTGCACAAAAACGGTGGATGCACTTGGGTAATATATTGGCTTACGCATTTTCCTTTTCGACCTTTTCTCTCCTTTATAGTATATTTCTTTGGTATTCAACTTGCTGTTTTAATTAAAATAAATGAAATATATATACATATTCTAAAGATAAATTTATTTACTTTTATATGATATGAAAACTTTTATGCAGTAATGAATTTAGGTTTAAATAAGAAAGGTAACCGTTAAATCTCTCTTAAGTCTCCCTTATGATAAAAATTTACAATTAAGCACTGGACAACCAGTTGAATGTCATATGTAGCTAATTTAAACTATCTTGCTAATAATGTTAGAACACTTTGTATTGGCATGGCATGGCGTCAATTTCCTCGGTAAATACCGTAGTTATAATTGTTGCAGCGGAGTACTACTAGATCGATTTAGTTCTAACAATTGGTTAAAAGCACTAAAGATTTGTTTCTAAAACGCGTCCGGAGAAGTATTACGACCTCAAAGAAGGCCAGCGTGAAGTGGAAGAGTATACTTCTGCTTTTCATCTGGTGAGTGTGGTAACCGGAGCGCACTTAAAAGGTGGCAACGCATATGCAACCTTACGGGTGTTGCAAATGTCCATGCGCGGCGGTTATCGCTTAACATCAAGTGAACCACCACCTCGCTTGTCCTTCTACATAAAAATAATATATCGAAAATCAATCATCACATAAGAACTCCACCACAGTTCTCACTACATAGCCAATTGCAATCGACGACTATGACAGGAAGAAGATCTGGACAGTCAACAGGGCGTGATAGATTTCTCGCTGTACCTGCGCGGCAGTAACTCCTCGAACGACATCGCCGGCAACGGTAACAACGCGAACAATGAGCCAAAACAACGTCACATCAACACGATGCTGGACCAGAAGAATTACATCGAGGAACTCAACAGACATCTTAAGTGAGTTGCACACTCTTATCAGCTTGTATGTATGTTTGTATCTAACAGTATAAATAGTAAGATTAATTAAGGAATAACATTCAACTATTGTTTTCACGTTTTAACCGAACCGAATAACGACACCGACCGGTACAGTTATTCATATAAAAATTGCGCTAATTTTTACTCGTTGATTTGTGTGTTTTTAATTGTTCTTAATTGTAATTAATTATGGGGTCATTAAACACCTTTACAGTTTTCTTACATTTATGTTCTAAATTAGGAAATATATTAATGTCTATTAAACTTTTTGAAAGTCATCGGTGGTGTGACCTGTCATGATGTATGGATTCTAGTGTTAGGCAGCAAAAGGACGTATGAAATAAAAATTCATATGACAGAGATTGCCGGTCTCAACAGAAACCGCTTTCCGGACCGGTGGTAACTTACCTATGAACTTATGTATCATTTTTTATGTAAAACTCGATGTTTCACAAGAACACGCAAGCGTCGATTTGAATAGAGATATCATGAGTTTGAATTCGATACAGATGAGTATTGCGACGAAGGCTAATAGAGGAACGTTGAAGGAATGGATATGTTGTGCATGGAACGGAGGCAGGAGAAGAAGATTATGAGTATTTATAACGTCGATGTATTAGGAAGTATAGTTGTTACTTATGTAAAATAAATCCACAGCAGTTTCTTGATACTTCAACATAGTTCATTCACCTTATATTACGATAGATATAAATTCGAGTACACTTAAGTAAAGTACATTGAACTCAGTTGCAGACATTTATTGTTCATGCAATAAAATATTACATATAATGAAAACATATGTTCTATTAATTCATTAATTATTTAAATTTGTGTTAGTTACTATGTCTACGTAGGATTTTCTTAATAATAATTAAATTTAATGAAAACACAATTTCTCAGAAGTACTTCCCAAATGGCACATATACTCGTAAATGTAATAACTCAACGACTAAAACTAATATATGTTAAAAACGCGATGGTTTTTAAATAGCAAGGTTTTATGTAACAAAATTCTAGTGCAGCGCTTCATGGCTTAAAATGGTTGATTATTCTTTAGAGAAAGGTCGTGACTGGTTCCTTCCTTTTAAAAAAACTACTTAATAACTCTTAGTTAACACAATTACAGTTTCCAGGTTTGGAATACAGTAGAGTACAAGTCTATGTATTATGCAAAATATTACATGAATAGAAATCGATATCCATAAATTGAAATTGTTGATAAAGCACCACATGACAGATAGATTCTTTATTTTAAATACGCGAATAGTTGTAGTAGTAAGAAGTATTCCTGTAAGCCAAGAAATCATTATTAATCTGGCCGTCGGTCACAATGTTAGGAGAACGTGATAACGAGATTGATTCATTTCAGCGCCACAGTAGCCAACCTCCAGGCTAAAGTAGAAAGCCTCACCACAACTAACGCCCTCATGAAGGAAGACCTCGCCATCGCTAAAAATACGATGATAACTCTCGTGGAGGAAAACAACCAGTTGAAACATGCCTTGGGTAAGTGGCTAAATTTGTTTTTAACAGGACCGTCTTATAAATTTATGTTCGTGTAAAGCCACACATCAGTTTGAATTGCTGCATTCATGGGCTAGCTAGTCTGTTGATGTAAGCAGTGCCCAATGTATTCGGGTTTTCAAACGCTATCGGACGTTGTACATAAGTACTTGTCACTGGCTTGTCAGGTGAACCTTTTGTTGACTTGCCTTTTTTTCCGATAGGTATATACGTCAGGTCATAAGTTCTGTCACATGACCATTGACACATTTTGACCATAAATTGACACATATTTGTTAAACCATTTATATACCAAAAGTAACTTACTAAAACATACATTCTTATGCCAACCAAGCTTATTCAAAATAACGCCCGCGATTCTGAATACTAACCTTCATTCAACCTGTCGTCTGTAGCAGTCCATTACAATATCTGCTGCTACTCTCATCAAGGACGCCTAGAGTGACTCCAAATCGGGATGAGGCTTTGAGCAGGCCTTTTCCTTCAAGTATTTCCACATTTTATTATCCAACGGATTAATATCTGGACTGGAGAACAGACTTCGAGTCATGATGAATTCACTTTCGTATACTCAGTTTCTGTAATTGAACATAGTACGAGGAAGAGGTTCCACGAAGTTTATGAGGACTGTATTTTGTTACACAACTGCATTCTTTTTGACTCAGTTAAGTCCGAATATGTGACTCCCAGCCAAACCATGATTGACGATGGCTTCGCTGGACACGCAAAATACGGCTGCTCACTTCGCCATTGTTGTAGGCGTACACCTTATCATTTTATTTGTTGTAGCTCTCATCCACGGTAGAATTTTTTATCGCGTTTATTTTTTATTTAATTCCCGACGTTTCGAACCCTTTGGAGCATTCATGTCAGTCTGTCCCGTTTGAATTTTTCTGACTTAATACTTATGGTAATGACCAAATTACACAAAATCTTTATAAGCTGTAGTCTGTGTTATTCTAATGTACCTTGCGTCAACTATCATCGTCCGTCCCAGAGTTCTATAAATTGCAATGAATAATAGATGAGATCACATGCAAGGTAAAGTCAAATGAAAACTTTACTAAAAACCGTCCAAGTGCGAGTCGGGTCTCGAGCATGAAGGGTTCCGTACCATTATCTATAAAAACGGCAAAATAATCATGTCTGTTGTATGGCAGCCCCTCTTAAATATTCTTTATTCCGTTTTTTAGTATTTGTAATGTAGCGGTAACAGAAATACATCATTGTGAAAATTTCAACTGTCTAACTATCACGGTTCATGAGATACAGTCTGGTGATATACGGGCAGACAGACAGTGGAGTCTTAGTAATAGGGTGCCGTTTTACCATTTGGTTACGGAACCCTAAAAAGTTGATGAGTGGAATTGATCTCTCGACCAGCACATGAGCATATCGCTGATCCAATGTGCTACAAACGTACTGTATTAATTAACGGTAAAAAAAACACATGCTTATAAAAGACGCTTGGCGCATGTGTTGAAAGTCAGGTCATGTTAATATTAAAAAAAAAAATTGTGAGCATCCTCGAGGATTACTAGATGCCAGAGTTAGCTGGTCCTTTCTTTTCAAAGCTTAGAGGGCCCTCTGAGCTTTAGGACCCTGGTGCACTGCACCACTTGCACCTACCTGATAGTCACGCCACTGCCCGGTGAATATCTGATTTCGAATCGTGAATCGTTTAATCTCGTATGAAATTACAAGGGTCGCATAAGTTTTTAATACACGATGTATCCAGCACATGTTTTATATGTGGCTAACTAGGTAGTAAGTATAGAATATAAAAGTAAAGTATCAGCCTATTTATGTCCCACTGCTGGGCAAGGGCCTCCTCTATACGAAGGGTAACAGGGTATATATAGTCCACCACGCGGCCCCACTGCGGTTTGGCGGACTTCACATATCCTCCAAATAATTTTTTTGTTCATTATTTCGAAAATATGCAGGTGTCCTCACGATGTGAAATAACAAAAAAGAGTTTCTTGCCGGTTCTTCTCTGTTCAGGTCTAGTTTAGTGAACCGGTGGTAGTTTTTTTGTCGACATTCAATAAGAGCTTAAGTTAAGCCTATATTGAATAAAGATACTTTGACTTTGATGTTTGACTTCACCGCTGAGCAAGTTATAATTTAGCACTTAAAATTAACAATTTCATTGGTGCCGGCACCGGGGATCGAACTCAGGTTGCTCGAGTACATTAAATTAAAGACGAACGCCCAGACACTGAGCTATCACGGCTATATAAATATAGAATATAAAATAGATAAACATAGAAATGCTTCAAATGCTTCACGGTCCTATGGTTTGTGAAGTATGATCACACATAAATTAATTTTTCGTAAGGGTTCTAAATAGAAAGCATAATTCATTCAAGAGATGCTAAGTGCGCAAAGTTGAATCAAATGGCCTACGTCCAGCAATGGACCAACAGCTAATGATGATGATTGTGAATTCATTCATATCATTCAGTGAATAATGAATTTCACTCGCTGTATACAAAACACCACATTATTTTGATTTATGTAGCAAGTCGAGAGTAAAACAGATTGCTGTTAATCTTAAACAAACAATAACGTTATTGGACAGTTAATGCAGGCACTTTTTGAGCATTAGGCTCATTGGTTTTTTATTATTGTTTTAGATTTATTATTTAGTTTTGTTCCCTTTTATAAAAAAAAAACCATTAATATCTTTATTGTAGAGCCATTTTACACGTCATTTTATATTCATGTTTACACGTCGTACATGTGTAGATCATAGATATGCTTTTCCTGGGTGAGACTTACACCCACGTCCGCGGTGCCGAAGTCTGTTTATCTAACACATATTTCACCTGGACAAACAGACAGATTCGGAAAAACTATCACACAAATACTAGTTCCTTTTGGGAATCGAACCCAAGAACCCCGGTGCCGAAACCATCAGCTTAGTAAATGCGCCACCGCACCATCGTGTTGTTGTCACTGTTGTCTATTTCTAGACAACTTCGTAAAAAGGTGAAAACATCGCAAGAAACAACTTTCTTGCAACGAAATATACAGCAAAAAATGCAGATCAGAAAGTTTCATTTATTTAATTTTATCGGTTTCGTACGCTTTAGCACCATTGAACAGAAAAACACATGGAAGAAATAAATAAATCAATATAATACTTCTCTTACCCTGTATCATTTATAATTCACACGTGCCGTTATCGAAATCAATAACAATAATACTTCTCTTACCCTGTATCATTTATAATTCACACGTGCCGTTATCGAAATCAATAACAATAATACTTCTCTTACCCTGTATCGTTTATAATTGTTCACACGTGCATTTATCGATGCCCACGTACGGCCTAAGTTCCCAGGCAGATTTCGCGAAGGAAATCTCACGGTGAGCGGTAATAATAGAGACTGCGGTAGATAAGACACCTAGCGATGCTCTGAGTCAGCTTTGTGGACGCTTAGTAGTCGATTGTGTGCGTTTGCGATCGCTCGTGTTTCGACATTGCCCAAACCGCACTACCGCGTTTGCCGGCCGTTATGCTCTGCGGCGTCGTCCAAATGGGCAATGCGACGGCGAAGAGTCAAAACAGAAAACATATTTGGTCGGCGCACTGTGAGTTCACTTGCACAGCGTCGACTAGAAATGGAGACGCGAGACGGGAAGAAGTTTATTTACGGCTTAGAGATATTTAAGCGTTGATTTTTTTGCGCAGGTCAGGATATAACGAAAGAGAGCAGGATGAAAGTGACCGAACTCCATTCTGAAGAGGAGGTGAGATTTGGATGTTTAAAAAAATATCTTTTTCTATTCATATTGTATTGTACTTTGTATTCTATGGTTCCTCTTTTGTGCTGCCTCTAGTTACAGCTTTAAAGTGTCTACCATAGCCCTTATGAAAAGATCACAACGCAGTTGTATTCGATAACATTATCACGTAATACCTAAACATAAGCGCAATCTATGCGATGGCTCAATACTTCTCAGAATGATTAACACATAAAAAGTTATAGATATAAACAGCTCCGATAGTAATTAATTTCACCATTACTTACACATTATAGAGCGTCACCTAATCATTTTATAATTATCTTTTATTACTTAGTCCAGGCTGTATCTCTGTTTAGTTTTATCGTTCTGCCTTCATAATCCGTCATTATCATAAAACTACCACAAAATAAAATTCATTTTTTGTTCTGATTCACGTTTATAATAATTAGAACTTTTGGTTTTATTCATACCACCAATTAGCGCTTAGAAACTTCTACAGCCTTCGCAATTTCTTGCGGATCACAGATAGACCCTGACCAACTTATAATTATTTGATTGCGGTCTTTGAAAAAGTTTTGTAATTATAACTCTCTTTGATCAAGCTAAAGAAAAGCTGCGCATGTAAAGATTTTTTTTTTTCACGTTGAAGTAACAATAAGATAGTTGTCTATTATTAATTGGAAAAAATTATAAATAAATATTTTTACTTGGACAATGTTAAGTATCATTCACATGTGAATTAATCAATGGTATTTTATAAATGCATTAAACTTCTTTAAAATATTCATATTTAATTTCTTTCCTTGATACGAACGGATAATCGCATCGATTTGTCGGATTATTATTAACCGTGCATGATGCTTATACCGCCTTTACATATTTCAGCGTCATCATTATTGATTCCGATGATATCATCAACTTACTTGTTTTATTGTTTACATTGCAAAGTTACATTATCGATGCTGAGAAAAGATACTTCAAACGATAATTCAATTATTTGAAGTGATTGATCAATGACTACCTTAAAACAAAACCTTTTCTTATTAATATACTAATTGACATTTCATTTAAGAATATCTCAGGCAACTAATAGTTTTTACGCTTATCCTCATATGTGTTTGGTATTTTTCTTCGTTTCTCAACAGAGCACCCTTCTCTTCCTATAATGTTATTAAAATTTTCCATTTTGTGTGAATTATTATGTATGCTAAAATTAGGCAAACAAAATTCCAGGAAAAACGTAGCGTTAAAAGCACTTCGTCGGACAAGTCAAAGAATGAAAAGGATACAGAACAGGGAAAGATATTTGAAGAGGAAAGGAAAAAGAATTTGGAGTTGCAAAAAGAATTGGATCTTCAGGTAACTAATTGTAATTGGATCGTTTTCCACGTAAAGGATTTTATTTTAATAAGTTTAATCATCAAGCTTTATCATTTGACAAACCACGTATAACGTCGTTAAGGGTAATGATGACCACTTGCAGATATCGCTAAAAGCGGAAATGGAAGTGGCCATGAAGCTATTGGAGAAAGACATACACGACAAACAGGACACAATTATATCACTGAGGCGGCAATTGGACGACATAAAGTTGATCAACTTGGAAATGTATAAGAAGCTACAGGTAACAGTGAGAATATATTTTAAAGTAACGGTGTTGCCACACAATCGGTCGTCGCGGACCGCTTGCCGTGACAGGAAGCAGACGCTGACCCAAATAGGACGAGGCGACGTCCAAACAAAGACACCTCAGTGTGTGGCACCACCTGATCGTGGCATAATTTTGCTATAAAACTTTATGGTGACCTACCACTTATAGATATAATATGCGTTTTCGTCCACATTCAATATTGCATTGCTTGTTATTTTCGTCCATGGCCCATGCTATTTGTTTATTATTTGTGTACATGTGTTTTTGCTTCGACAAATCTGGACAAGAATCTGCGTAAGAGATATTCTGATCGTTTTATATTTTGTCATTTTGAGGTTCATCAAGGCACATGGTTTTTTTTGTATTTATTCATTGCATTGTGTGAACACAAGAACGGATATTCAAAGGTCGTTCATCTCGCGTGGGCGCTACCCATTACCCGAAGGCAATCTGTTCATCTGGCAGATTATATAATTTATTTTCATTTCATTCCATTAGATATTGTTCATCTGCATTTGTTTATTTTGGCTTATTCATTTCTCATTAATATATTTTTAAACAGCATTCAAAAATCGGAAACTGGGACATGATCCTACGTACTTGTTAAAATTAAATTCCATACTAATGTTTGTAAAATTTACGGAATTTATATTTATTGTAACATTTTTATAGCAGTGTTTGTTATTTTAATCTAAAGTGGCAAATAACAAAATAATTCGACGTTTGAAAATTGATTTCATCGCATCGCTTTTCCCAAGGACATGGACCAGTTTTCCATGACACCAAAAATTCCCTTCGTATGTGTTTCACATATCACAATCGTCCATTCTAACAAACTAACCGTGAAAAATTATTTGTGTAATGTTTTCCATACTAATGCAATGCTGTATTCATCAATGCCGCGCTTGTCTAACGGAAGGAATGCGAGATGGAACTCACACAGAAGGGTGAAATGGTGTCCAGGCTTCAGGGGAAGGCTGAACAAATTGGCAAAATACTCCACAACCTTGAGAAATATAACCACTTCCTAGGACCTGACCACGAATTGGTCAAAGCGCTAAGGTCACCCTCTAGCGAGGTCAATTCGGCTGAAAGAGCGGACACGATCAGAACAAAGAAGGATGAGGGTCCACCCAGCAAAAAACTAAACCTCCAGGAAATACCACCCTTTCGAAAAAATAATAGTGTCGATAAAAAGGAATCTCGAATAGATTAATAAGAGAACACATTTAGTACTGAAACTAACTTATTACCGTACAAATGTAGAAAATCCAATATCCCGTTAAGGTGGTATTTCCTAAATAGCGAAATCACTTATAAGAAAGTTGTATTTATTAAGTCGCCTTATATCATAATATTATTACTAACAATTCGTTTTAATTAGAATTATATCTTCAGTAGTTGACGAAATCTATAGCGTTTTATGCATCACATAACCTCAAAATGGAATTAACACAGATTATCGAATAGTTTTAGACGCGGATACTATTATTATATATATGCTTGCTAAACTAACAATTGCAACACAACGCAATTAAATATTCATCTAGCTAAACTGAATTGGCTTTGTTTTAGGAATGTGAAAGTTCTTTGAAACATAAAACAGAGCTAATAGCCAAATTGGAAGCAAAGACTGAGTCAATGGGCAGCACGATACATCAGCTCGATGAAAAGTAGGTTTTATATTTTTATTTTATATGGAACGCCTCAGTCGGGCCCCGTTGCGGCCTGCTGATACCGAAAGGATTGAGAGAGTGCCTAATATTTGTGTAAACTAGATGTGGGTGATTACGAACTGTATTTAACATAATAATTCCAATTTAAAAATAGATATTTTCTGCGGTTAAATAATTTCTTTTAATATATTTCTAAACAATCTTATATTATATTCTTACCATCAAATGAGTTGAAATGATACGCAATTCTATTTTTATTTAATTAACCTTGATGTATACTTTGGTCTTGCTATCGTTGGTAACGAATATCGTTAAACCACTCAAAACAGTAATTCGATTTGTCGCAATCATAATGATTTAAGTAAAATTATGTTATATCAACAGAAAGTCTTTGGTGCATTTTATTGTATAGTCTAGATCAGTGTTTACCAACGTGGGGCCCATACCCTACAGGGGTTGTCCCCCTGTTTATTGTTAAAAGGGCAATTCGAAAATGGACTCAACACGAGTTTAACCCTTTCTGTCCAGGCCATTTAAATGCAATGCTAGATTTCGGTGCCAAATTTAACGAAAAAAGCAAATTCTTAGATAATTGCGGTAAATAATTATTAGGTAGGTATGTTACATAGGAGGGGGGGGGGGGGGGGGGGGGGGCATAAGAATTTTAGAAAGGCTAAGATGGGGGCATGGTATTAAAAAAGGTTGGGAAACACTGGTCTAGATATTTATGGATAACTTCTTGAAATTTTTTAAATAAAGTTGTTTTAAATAAATAAATTAAGTTTAGTTCTTAGATTATCCCTCTTAATCACCCACCACTAGTGTTGTAACGTTTGTTATGAGAAATATGTTAAAGCTTGACATATCAAATGCGCGAAGAGCACTTAGGCGAGCGTTGCACTTGCTTGCTGGATTGTAAGGCTCCTATTGATATTGGCAAACCGTCACGACAAACCGCGAACTCAACTTGTGATCGATGAGAATTAACGAGAGATAATATTTTGATATAGTCGTTAAAAGAACCATTTTACGACAATGCTATTTGGCTTCAGCTTTTATTGCTGTTAAAAATTATATTATATTTTCATATACCGGTTAATATCGGTCTATTTTAGGTTTTTGTTGTTGTTTTTTTTTTATAGAACTTAATTTAAGAAATGAAAAAGTGATTGGAGCGTTAAAATATTTATTTTAGTACTTTGTAAAAAAATATAAGACGACTGCTGATTTGTGTTTTTGAATATTTTTTTGTTAAATTTTATGGAGATGTTTAAAGTAAAAAAATGACTACGTATGCACAGATGTTTTTGGAAATATTCACTTGTTTCCGATTAACTTTGAAGTATTAATATTGTGATTCCAGTTCAGGATGTGAGTAATGTATTATTCAATTATATCTCTAGACAGTTCGATCTCGTTTGTTATGTAGATTATATATTAAATGACAACCTAATGGATTCATATTTTTAAATATAACTATGTCGCTTAATTCTAGAAACAACTGTACCTAAGAACTTTAGATCTATACTCGTTTTATTTATTGAACATGTAACACCGTGGCCCTAGTGATGTAACAGCCTTGTTTGTAATAAAGTATATTCAATCTTACGATTGTATTTTATTCAATTCAAAACCGTGGAACGCTTATTTTGATTTTATGTTTACTGTGTAGGTTTGCCATTATCAATATATTGTGCTTGCATGCCATCCATGATGGATCAAAGAGATTTTTTTTTTTTTACTTTTAGATCTAGATTTTTTTTTCTTTTCTTTGTAACAATCATTAAAAAATATAACGAACACAATTTATCTTAAAGCTATATATGTAATCAATATTTATTGCATATATTTTATTCACATGAACTAGAACTTTTACTAGAAAAGAATTTAGAGCACCAGTTTTTTTTTTTTTTTTTTTTTCAGTTTTATATAATTAATATTAAACAGTACTATAAACTTTAAGCCAATATGACATTGACATTATGATCCTGCAAGAATACTTATGCAATTGCGCCAATTTATGTTTTTAATACTCCCAGTTGACTAAATTTTTAATTTTTATTCGAAAATGTTATGAAAGACGCTTAACTGATAGTAAATAATGGTACTTAAATAATTTAAGCTTCCCTCGTCATTAAACATATTGTAACACATAAAATAAAAGCAAATTAAAATAACATTCGAAGAAGAATTTAAGTGTAGAAAGTGAGGAGTGAAGATTTTAATACATCATGTTGGCATTGCTACTAAACCACAGTCTATATCTTCATATCTCAACATAGTAACAATTAAGAAAAAAAGCAATTTCACATTTTAATAATAATATTTGTAGATTTTATAACAACAAGAGTATTTAAAAATTTAACACAAAATTTTTGATAAATAGAATTGAGAATAGTGTCTTCACGAAACAATTGATGGCGTAGGTTACAGGAGGATAAATTAACTAGGAAGAATTTAGAGGAAAGCGCTAGATCACTCGGTCAAAAAGCCGCCGCTGCGGAGACAAGAGCCGTCGCAGCAGAAGGAGACTTGAAAATAGAACGGGAATGGAGGATTTCCTTGCAGGTAACAAACAAGCTTCATACATCAATACAATCTTAAAAAAGTAAATAATATTATAATAAAAAGTAAGCGAGTAGACGGTTCACCTGATGTGAAATGATCGCCTAAGCGCGTCTAAAGCTCCTTTTGCTGGCATATGCGTTTTTAACTTTTTTTGAGTTAGGTGTGTTGCACGAATGGGCAGGTCCGTCCGGGGAAGTACCACAATCTCACAGAAGACCGGCGTGAAGTGAAAGTGTTCTAACAACCCTACATGTGATGCAATGCAAAAAGGCGACAGTTATCATTTAACCTCAGATGTTAAACCAGCTTGCCACCTTTTAACATATAAAAAAAAATACGAACAGTTTTTTTAGTGAGAAGCAGTAAACGGAAACTAATACGAGCTATTGAGAAACATGATCAATCATTTAATTCTAATAAATTTATAAGAACTTTTCCTAATTTAAGCACAAAATAGACTTCCATAAGTATACTTCGCCGACTTCCACGTTCTATTCAAGACCATATTCATGTAAAACACCTGAGAGGGTGCAGACGCGTTGTCAACCTTTTATAAAGTGGGTTCCGATTACCACACAGCTTACTCATCAGACGAAACGCGAAAGTTCTATACTTCCACATCACGCCGCTGTTCTTCGAAGTGAAGAAGAGGCAACTTGTACAGGTGGTTCTGCTCATTTGTACAGAACAGGTGTCAAACTGTCATTCTCAATTGGTATACATCAGCAATACAAATTCCGTCTGGTGTTCCGCAAGGATAATTGTTTGGACCTTTGCTATTCAATATATTCGCTAATGACATAACAAACTATTTCCTGTACTCCAAATTAATGTTGTATGCCAATGACATGAAAATTTTACATGAAATAAAATCAACAAAGGACACATCTCATCTCCAAGAAGACTTGTTCCAATTTCAATCATATCGCTTACTGAGTTTAGAATTAAACGTTGAGAAATGTTATATTTGTTCATTAACTCGAAAGTCAAATCCTATTTATTTCCTGTATAATTTAAATAACGTTAACCTCAACAGAGTGACATCTATCAAAGACGTTGGCGTTATCTTCGACTCTAAATTACTCTTCCAAGAAAATGTAAATGCCTTATTTAATAAAGCGTTTAAAGCACTTAGTTTTGTAATAAGCCATTCCATTTCCTGAAAACATAACTTGTTGACAATGTGGTAGTCATTCATAAATGCGTCGTATACTTTTGAAATGAACTTATGTGCGTGTTAGTTATGAATGATCGCGCGTAAAATAAATAAGTTGCCCATAAATCACGCACTTTTTGAGATAAATTCAAATGAATGTATTTAATTAATAACGAGTGATTTAAATATTTATCATTTTTATATAACATTATTCGTCTACAATTTAATTAAAAAAATGGATACACTTAGAAAAGCCTCCCTGTACACCAGGTGTAAGGTAAGTCTGCATAAAAGTGTAAAATAAAATAAAATAAAATATGTAACAATAATAACATGCTTCATTAATAACTTAATTAATTTATTACATAGGAAACATATAGGTCATCATCATCATCATCATCATCATCATACCATTCAATGATCAGCACTACTTTAAAATTCTGTTTATTATTATGTTATTGTAACTTTGTAGTATTGTGAGAATCAAATGAACAACCCCCAACGCCAAGGACAATAGCTTAGCAATTGCGCCACCGAGTTATTGTTAAATTTAAATATGTTATTGAAATAGTTTGTTCGAAAATATTAGGTTGTAAACATTAGGTTACTGTATTCCTTATTACTAACTTATAAAAATAACTTGGTTTTCAATTTAAGATACTTGATACTTTTTGTTCTGTTGATAATACGTCTATAACAAGTCACCGTCATTTCATGCCGTTTAGCAAGAGAATGAATCTCGCAGACGAGCTGAAATCAAATGTGTTAAAACAAATATTTAAGAACAAGAACTTTTCGAACAAGTCCTTTTAAGTATTTGAAACAATTCCGAATTTTCCAATTCAAAATATCTTTTTTTAACTGATTCTGCATTGAACTACCAACAAGATTACGAAGTAGGACACTTCTTTCGATCATTGCGAGCATAAAACGAAAATAATAAACGAATATAAAACTTCAAAGGCGAAGGAAAGTTGGAGACCATGTCGAATGTCATTGACATAAACTTTCACGAACCAGTTGATCTTGTAAAAGGTCGAAATTGAGCAGAACTAAAATTGCAAAACATTTTGACACAACAACTCTTGTAACGGCCTTCGCCGATTTTCGCCGAATTAGACACGTTCCCTACTATCTGGATTCTCTGTACGCGCCAAAATTATTATTTGTTTTTACACTGTAGTACGTGTTCTTTTACTTTGACAATGACATAGTGAACAAATTAAATTGATCCATTGTTTTAATTAATTTCACGCCCCTTCGTACAATGCATTAAATGGACGCAAATTGGCATGCATTACGGTCGTGACACTAATAACACAACTGTTACGTTTGTACTTAATAATCCAATTAACAATTTTTGTAATGTGAAAAACTAAATTTTTTTGTAATTTGAAAAGAAAATCTCCTTAATGAAAATATCACTGGTTATTTATTAAATAAAAAATTAAGGTTTTAAATGTTGATATAATATATAATACAAAAAAATTGTTTCCTTTTAATTGTGAGGAACAATCTAAAGTTAAAATAGTAGACATCTTCAGTGTGGATTGCAATGAAAATGACTACTATTTTAAGCTCTATCTACCTGTGCATATCCCTGATCCTTATGACTAAAAATGGATTGCATGGTATAAAAACATTTTGTAAATAAAGAAATTTGAATTAATTATATTTTATCGTTTAATTTCAAAACACCAAAAACTGTATTGCATTTAACATTAATGAAAACCTTGTTTGCAGGATTCTATGATGCGTGATAGAGATAAAATATCAATCTTAACACAAGAAGTGGAATCTCTGAAGACAATAGGAAGAGTAAGTCATAATGAATTCCAAAATTGTAAAATTCCAGGTGTAAAAACTTTATTTCACATTTAAGTCATTATATACGTAGAAATGAATACTGATAGATTATTATATGGCAGTTAATGATATTCGTATAAAAAATAACCAAAATAAATTTCCATTTAGACAAAACCAAAGTGCCTTCGTAATCAGCGAGACATAAACCATTTTGTTTGTGTGAACACATAACCAAAATGGTTTATCTTGTTCGCAATACCATCAGTTTCGAGCTTCATTTACACCAAATGAAAATTGTTCACTCATCTAGAAATACGTAGCGTTACAAGAAGAGCAGCACCTCCTTAAGGCGCAGTACATCGAAGCTCAGAAGACTTTGGAAGAAGTTGGGGCGACGCTGAGCGAGAACAAATTGCAACTGGCTGAGCTACTGGAAAAGGAAGCCCAGGGTGCTACCAGTGAAGACACCCCAAACTGGACTAGTGACAAAGATGCCGTGGCGTGTGCAGCTTGCGCCAAGGAGTTCAATATAGCCCGAAGGAAGGTACAAAATTATACCACTACTGATTTTGTAAACAAAATACGTTCTCGATTAGAGAATACATATATTACCACCTTAATACCTACTTCCCACAATCAATACATATCTATACATCCATATATGCCGATTACTAGTACTTTTGATGTCTTTTCGTACCAATCTGTTTGATATTTAGTTTCTTCTGTACAGCGTCCTCTGTACATTTTCCTCGCCTTTGCATAATCCTTTTTCTTTTCACCCTTTACCGTACGTGTAGAGCAATGTTTTCAACTCTCCTTTACAACATAGTCATTTACAACATAGTTTATTATTTCAGCATCATTGCAGAAGGTGTGGGCAGATATTCTGCGCGGCGTGTAGCGAAAAGACTGTCGCACTACCTGGCAATACCAAGCCCGTCCGAGTTTGTGACACGTGTTTCACAGACGTCAGAGTAACATAATAAATGGGGGGCAAATCATGTTTTAAAAGCATAATCAAATGAAGAATTACATAGCGACATTGTAAATAAATTGTGCTAATAGCTGCTGTTAAAGTGTTTACTGACAACGCTGTCCCTGATATTTGTTGTTATTTGATTTTCAGCCAAGAAGGCCACACAAACCAAATTAAATAATTACTTTCTTGTTTGTTGTTTGCTAGTCGTCTATAGGTCAAGTCAGATTTAATCGCAATGAAATTTGTACGCATATTATACAGTTCACTTTACTAGGACATAAGACTGATGTTGTTGACGATATAATAAATGTAGATAAATGACTAAATAACTGCCTATAATTAAATGAAAAGGACAATTTATTATATAGTTCCAAATGTTTTTAAATAAATATGTTAGTTAATAATAATAGGGATCAATATAATTGCTATAATTCAAAATTTTTATGTTTTTAAGTGAATTTATTAATTGAAATAAATTTCGTAATCAAACTTTTACTGTTTTCTCATCCATTTTATAATCATAAAGGACATCGATATATTATATAATATATGGTATGTTAATTTTATTAAATAACTGCCAAATTGTAAAATTAATTAAAGAATAATCAAAATTTTATATCCTGACAATGTTATATAAACACATGTTTTTTTTACTAATTAATGTAGATAATACATTAATTAGTACAAAAACATGTGTTTATGTTTATCGTCTGTAGAAAGTTTTGGAATCTAGTACGGATTATTTGATGATGATTTACAATGAACATGTCTCCGAATTCTATCAATATCTTTATAAAGGTTAGTAACTAAATATTTAATAAAAAAAATATTTGACAAAGCACAAAAATTAATATTGTTTTAACAGCGTCAACAAAACCCAATCATTTTATTTGTTTTATTTTTAATAAATAATTAACCTGATAATTGCGTATTGTATTGAAGAAAATAATATATATGGTGAAAAAAATTCGGCAGGGTCTTTTTTTTAATGTTATTTAGTCAAAATGGAATACTGCATGATTTTTTTTAAGGAACATTGATATTTTTCACAACGGCTTGATGGTTGAGAACTGGTGGTTTCCTATTTGTTATATGGATTTTCAGAAATTGTTTCTGTAAATATTTTTAATAACCGTATGTATAGCTGTGAATTATGGAATTATAATCAATGGAAAACATAAAATTTCGTTTTAATTTTATTACAAGAGCTTCGTATTTAAAGAACATTTCTTTTTTTTATTATCTTTATTTTTATGGGGTTTTTATCTATGAAGATACGTCAACCCCATCAAAAACATTTCAATTGTCATCATTCATAATATGGTTCAGTATTTGCTCCATTGCAACTGGATTTTCTTCGGGAACCTAGAAGAATAATCGTGGTAAAGCGTTTTTGTAATATCCATTCCGCCTATGCAATCGTGTGCTTTGTAAGTTTTTACATTTCTTAATTTTAAGGTATTAGTTTCTTTAAGTTTCCGGGTGTTTTTCGACGTAAAAAAAATGTAATTAGGTACAGAAAAATCATTAATAAAATACTCACCAAGCAGAATTTGGCGGTCGCTTATAGTTTTTGAGAGAATAAATTATTTAAAACGTAATTTTCACTAAGAAAGTTCACCATTTTTACCAATTTGACTTCAAAAACTGAATACACAGTACCGCCAACATGAAAAATATAGGAAGTGGGCGAAGATTAATTTTCTTTTAATTTTAAGAGTGACAGATCCGACACAGAGCGATCCGACTCGATTAATTTAGTGAAAATAACAAGTTTTAAATATATTTTTTTTCTCGAAAACTATAAGCGACCGCCAAATTCTGATTGTTGATTATTTCATTAGTGATTTTTCTTAACCGAATAAACTTTTTGTTTGGTCGAAAACACCCGGAAACTTAAGGAAATTTTTACCATATTTTTTTTCTATTAAAAGAAGACACGTTACACACAGATTAAAAAATCCTTTTTGGCGTTTGCCTATGGCTTGAAAATGCAGATCCTGGGTTTGGTTGGCACAAGTTTTTGAATGATGAAGAACGTATGACCTACTGACCATTCTTTTTTCCAATCTGAGTGTACTTTAGCAGTCTTCTGCTTCTCTTTCCACAACTGTGGAAGTTCCGAACGCGTTTTTACATCTGTTTCTGCTTCTGTTTTAAAAACTTTTACAACGGAAATATAATGATGATGTAAAGCGTTTTCACACTTAGTTATAGGGTCTTATTTATATATGAACTACCTTTCATAAAATATACCTTACCGTAACTGAACATAAAAATAGTAATTTTTTTCATAGTAATTACAATGCAATTTCTGTTTCCGTTTCCGCTTAGATTTTTTTTCTGTTTTTTCTTCCTTTATGTCACTTCTGTCGAATCACTAGTGTAATTCTATATGCCTCCGTATCGGTAAGCTGAACAGGATAACATAAAAAACCTAAGCGAAGATGTCACAACTTACCCAATGACCAGATCCGAACACCGACCAGAAGCTGAACTGTCGCGCTTTCTTGTAAAATCCGTTTCTATTTCCATTTATCTGAACCCTTTTAGCTTTCTTGAATTCCCTCGCGCCATGCCATTTCAATTTATGCACCCAATTTGAGGCTCCTATATAATAAGATCGTTGTCATGTTGATTAAGTTAAAAAATATACCAGCAATGAAAAATATTTCTTATTTTAACTTTTATTTACAATTGATGATAATATTCGGCAGCACAGTAACGGCGCGGGTCGGGGATTTAGATTCCTACACACGACAAGTGATAGGGTGACCAACAGTAAAATTTTTCCGCATCTGGATGTTCCCAAGAAGATTTTTTTTATGCGAAAAGTTCAAACGAGCGGACGGTTCACCTGATGTTAAGTGAATACCGCCGCCCATGGACCTCTGCCACACCCGAGGGTTACAGATGCGCTGACAACCTTTTGAGAATTGGGCTCCGGCTACCTCACTCACCAGACGAAACGCGAAAGTATTTGTCATACTTCCACTTTACACTGGTCTTCTGTGAGGTCGTGGTACTTACCCGGACGGGCCTGCCCATTCGTGTAACAGCCGAGGTGTGCCGACCCACATCTAAGGGCGAATCCACGGGGGGGGACATGACCCCCCCCCCCCCCCCCCCCCCCCCCCCCCCTGGGCTGGGTCTAGGACCTAGGTGGACCACTAATTAAAATTGTTAAACATAATATTTTTATATATTTTTTGCCACAATACAGATTTTATGTAAGAATCTTCAATATTAATTCAAATTAATATAATATTTTTAACCGACTTCAAAAGGAGGAGTATCTCAATTCCATTGGTATACTTTTTTTTCGATGTATGTACACCGATTACGTTGGGATTTATGATACGATTTACGTGATTCTTCTTTAGTTTTATGCAGAATAGTTGCCATTTGGTCCCATAAAAATTTACCATAGTTTGGCCAAGTATTTTTCATTTTATGAACATTTTTACAATATTTTAATGTTTGTCATCAAATCTTGCGAATTAAATTTCATCTACTTCCTGATTACCGGTTAAGCTGAAATTTTGTGTAGATGTGAAAATCGCGAGACAATGCAACATTTTTATGACATGGTGCTGATCTGATGATGGAGGTGGAAGGTGGCCAAAGGAACTTCGCAATGAAACGACAGAGCCTCATCGCGTTTGGGTACATTTGAATCGTATTGACGAGTAGTTTGTCTTTCATAGGTAACAGGATCTTATGATGGAGCTCCATCTTCAGCCGTCCATGGACATATGCATAGGGTTGCAGATGCGTTTTCTCCTTACAATCCGGCTCCGGCTACCCCACTCACCAGACAAAACGCAGAAGTACTTTACGCCGATCTTCTGTGAGGTTCCTATAACTCTGTAATGAAACGATTCAACCCCATCGAGTTTCGGCTCGTTTGATTCGTCTTGGCGAGTACTTAATTTTTAGATGGTTACCAGGGTCTGATCTGATGGTGGAGCTGGAAGATAGTCATATAGACTCAGTAAAGAAACGACGCAACCCTATTGTGTCTCGGCTCGTTTGATTCGTCATGACGAGTTCTTAAGTGCTAGATGGTAACCAGGGTCTGATGACAGCTGGAATGTCCCCTTAGGAACTCAGTAATTAAGGATTACAACTTCGTTGAGTTTGATTCGTCTTAATGGGTAGACCGTTTTTGATTGGTGGTGAGAGGTGGTAGTTTAGTGGACGTGAGTATGCGATCCCATCTTTGGGAAATAAAGTTTGTTCGTTCCGTTTGTTATGAATGTAGATTCTGTCTGTGATTAGATGGATGAGCGCTGAATATTATGAATGAATGAATGACTGAATACATTTTTTTTTGTTATTTATGAACATTTTTTTAACGTGGACGATGAAATTTTTAGTTTGTGTACGGCTATTTAGGAGTTTTCATTTGAGTTGATATATTATTATTAACCCGTGTCCCGATAGTCGCGTCTTAGGCTACTTGTCATTGAAGTGGAGCCAGCGTGCAGAGTAGAGGAATTGAAAAATATAATAATCAATATGACTACATAAAATCTGGTAACAAAGAAATAAATAAAAAGAAATTTCAAAAATAGGTAAGCCTACCAATAGCTACTTAAAAAAATACTATACAGGGAGGCTTTTCTAAGTGTATCCATTTTTTTTTATTAAATTCTAGACGTAAATAATGTTATATAAAAATGATAAATATTTAAAATCACTCGTAATTAATTAATTACATTCACTTGAACTTATCTCAGAAAGTGCGTGATTTATGGGCAACTCATTTATTTTACGCGCGATCATTCATAACTAACACGCACACAAGTTCGTTTCAAAAGTATACGACGCATTTATGAATGACTACCGCATTGTCAACAAGTTCTGTTATTTAGGGAATAGATTGACAATTTAAAAAAAAAGTTTGTTTTTATTTCAATAAACGGTTATACTACCGAGTTTGAACCTCCTGTGTGAATTTGGCCACTTTTATAAAAGCCACCCTGTATAATATATGATAATAAAAAGCAACGAATTGTTACGAACAAAAAAAGAATTTTGCAAATCCGTATATCCGTATATATGACGAAGTTTTGCCCGAACATACATAAAAAAATATAAACATCCGAATTGATAACCTCCTTCTTTTTGAATTCGTTTAAAAATACCTACTTTTACTTGTATCTATGATTATAAAGATTAAATTATAACTTCTTATTACTTGACCAACGACTACGTGACCCCCCCTGGCACCAAAGCTGGATCTGCCCTTGCCCCCATCCCAATTAGGGTGGATGAGAGCAGGAGAAGAGGATAATGATGATAATAATTATCAATACTTACTATACGAATTATCTATATCGATACGTTTCATCTTAAGCACAGATTTTAGCGGTATAAAAATATTAATTTCAAACGGCAATAGCGACATTTCACGTTCGAATTATCGTTTTAAGACGTTTATGTGCATTAAAGGACATGACAATAAATTCACCAAGCAATGCTTAAAATGCGAAAAAAATAAAACAATGTAGTTAAGATGCGTTGAGATATTCGTCGGTGTGGCAATCAGCCATTTAGCTAAGTTGTCAAAGCATCTGTGCGCAAATGCGGAAGACGTGGGTTCGATGTAACGATGAAAAACTTTTCATCCATTTTATACATTTTCTAGTGTCATCTTACGTGCATAGATTAGCGCTATAAAAATTTAATAAAAATTAAGGTAAATTTTCAAATCAATACGAAATTAAAATAACTATTCTTACCCGCTAGCGGAGTGACGACGTCCAAGTTGCCATTATAAACTGCTATTTTCAGTTTCGTTTTATTCAGCAACCGTTCTACTGAAAATTTACTTAAATTATATCTGTGTTTACAGTTATATTATTTTAACCTTACCTAATTTTGCATTTATAATTTAAACAAAATTAGTCTAGAATACGTTTAGTTAAAGACTGGAATGGTTTGGTTAGTGAAGTTACGATAAGTCCTACTTTTTAGGACTTCATCGAACCAGAGATTTAGGTCGACTTGTGAAATTTGACCCAGCGGCGGACCTGGTCACAGACCAGGCCGCTGAGGGCTGGGAGGCTTGATGCTTACTGGAACTGGCTCTCCTAACTCCGCTTGCCTCTGCTCAGCCAACTCGGTTCGTTGGCCGTGAAAATGAGGCCGAGTAGGAAGGCACGCTGAATGTTCCAGCGCGCCTTACATGGAGGAAAGGGGAATTGATCCCCGGGAGGGGCTGCTGAGGCGGCCAGCACTGGCAGGGTGGCGGAAGTGTGCGAAAGCATTCCCGTCGCTCTGCCGATATGTGCCTAGGTGGAATATCGTGGGGGTTTTAGTCGGTGCGATTCCGACATAACCCGCTTATGCCCCCGCGAGTCCCCCATGTCAACAAAAAAAAACACGTTACGGGGACCAGGACCCCGAGGCTAAATAACCTACCTGGTTATGTGTGCTAACACTATTTGTGAGTCAAGTGTTGTTAAGTGGGACTCCAGCAAGTCCGACGTACTTATTTTATCTTCCTCGACCGGGTCGAGGAGCAAAATAATGAATATAGGTAATACTGACATCATACGGCATTTATGAACTTATACACCCATACATAAGGTAAAGTGAAAGTCAGCCAATACTTACAGAATGAAATTGATGGCACAAAAAACACGTTATTCAATTTAAAGAAGGCATCGTCAGATATATAATTCCATTGCAAACTCTGATTCACCAAATGTGATAGCGTCGGCTTGACATACTTATTAATTTTTACGGCCAATTCTTCTAAAGCTGGATATGGACTGGCTTGATTAATATTATTAAAATTAATTTCCATGCCTGCCTCAATGTTTAATATTCCAAACATTATCGAATTTAACTTTTCTGTGAACTCGTAATCTTTTTTATCTATGTAGTGTGCCATTCTCTTCACTAAACTCAATGTATGCTGGTATGTAGTAATATCGATAACTCCCTGAAATGGTACAAAGTCATATGTTAAATTTTTGTTCTCTGTAATACAGCCACGCAACATATTCCGCTCTCTTTTGATGAGAGGTGACGGTGCAAAGAGCAGGCGGTTCACATGATAATAGATTACCAGCGCCCATAAACATCCGCAATAACAGAGGTATAGCACGTATCAATGGAGCCAAATCTTTTTTTTATTCACGTAAAGGACAACACACCTGCCCGCGCGTAGTCAAGGGCAGGTTGTGTCCACCTAGTTTTCTGTCCAGAGGTCAAAAAAACCAGGAGATATAGCTAAAAAGCAGACAGTGTTCCAGCCTCCAGCAACGAACCTGTTCTGGGAAGTAACATTTCACTTTCTCCGGTACTCCACTTCAATTGCAGAGAAAAGAGAGAGGGTCTCCTTGTCATCTATTCTAACCCTTTTTGTTTTTCAACGCAAATTTGTATCATTGATATAAAATTAAGAGATTATATTAAAACAAAAAAAAATATTTTGGTAATAACTGTATTTATATAAGTAAAACTAGGATTTTTTAATTGAAAAGTTGTCAAGCGAGCAGGCGGTTCAAAATTATCATGTTAAGTTTTTACTGACGCTCATGGACAAACTTAAAAAAAGGTTGGCTCCGGTTACCTCACTCTCGAGAGGAAACACGAAAGTATAATACTTCCACTTAAATTTGGCCTTCTGTAAAGCTGTGGTAAATCCCCGGACGAGCGTACTCATTCATCAGAAGTTGCGTAACTCTACAACAGATAAAATAAAATTTATTACCATGTTATAAAGAAAACCTGGTTGAACCAATGTACTCTCCTTCGGATCCACCCAGCCGCTTCCAATTCCTATACCTCTTAAGTTCATCTTCAATCTTTTCTTTTCAATTGCCTGGCAAAATTTCATATACGTAAGTCAATTATATAACAAAAGACGGTGAGGTACATGCAGATGCTAATAGCGAAACATGCAAACATATTGAAGTTTTTATACCGTATTCAAATAAACGCCCAATCTCGGACACAATTTACCACCGTAACTCTGACCAAAAAGGTATGTTGGGGTTTTGCGAAATTGCTTATGCGTTTTAAAGAACACTTTTATTACTTTCGTGAGGTCTAACGCTGAGAAAGAAAAAACACAAACATTCTGAATATTATTGCGTAACCAAACAATGCAACTAAAGAAAGCGAATGTACCTTTGTTCGGTAGTTAAACAATTAAGCAATCCGTTGCACTCGCTTGTGATAATCACACATAAAAGATCTAACAATAAACTTAAAAGCCTAAAGAGGATTATACAAGATTTATGTTTCCAGTACTTTGGAACATAATAAGTATATCTTTTTACAATATATCTTGAAATTATGCCTTTCTTACTTTATATACATTTCTTAATATTTCATAGTAAGTTTTATTCAAAAAAATAAAGTGTTACGATAATACTTAATATCGATTAAATTGTACTTTGATCTTTAACGTGGCATTGGCATATAATTTGTACGACTAGAAAATTAAAAAACAAACACCATAAATTAATTACAATCTTAATTTGTTACTGTGCTACAAATCAATTTCAGGTTAAATTATGGTGAAGAACTGGTGTTATGAATAAAGTTTTGCGCCTTACCCATTTCGCGGTCCGTTTTCACAAGTAATGATTTATCCGTGACGTAGCTAAAGCCGGTGCCAACTGGGTGGTCGATTAAAAGCAAGTTTCTACCCTTTACCTAAAATGAAATCTCACTTTATGAACACTTGAAATATTGGTTAACAACAATAGTTAACACTTGTTTAAACAAATTCTTTGTCGCCCAGTGTAAGTGATCACTCAACATATCAACTTTAACATAAAAATATATTGTACAAGAATATTTCACATGCAACTTTTCTCATAATTTCGTAACTGTTTGGGTATTCAAGGTTGTTCAGGTTTTAATCTGACAACATAATATTGCTATTAGGATGTCATTGTTGCATTTACGCTGTATTCCTCCAAGAACAAGCATTGTAGTGTTTAATACAGCGTATTACGAAATATTCATCCATTATTGAGTGCAATAACATACGGTATTTATGTAATACTACGACTTCTTTTGGCATGAGTGACAGTTATATTTTGTCGTAAAATTCAAACATGTGAAGCCATCGAAAAAATTACAGCAATAGGTACAAGGAAAAATTGAATTGAAAGTAAAGACGGGTCATAATAATGAACTTAAATTTACACCCATACATATATATATATATGTATGGGTGTAAATTTGATATAGCTATAATATGATATAGCTATTGTTATATAGATTTACATATGAAAAAAGGATGTAAGATCGCAGGCTTGAATCCGAATATTGCAAAAAGTAAAGTAAAGTAACAGCCTATAGATATCTCACTGCTGGGCACAGGCCTCTTCTGTACAGAGGGCATTAGGGCACAGTTCACGCGACCCCACTGCGGATTGGTGGACTTCACATATCTCGGAAAATATTTTTTGTCTCTATTTGGAAAATATGCGAGCATGTAATAAGTCAGTACTTAAAATTAACAATTTCATTGGTGCCGACACCGGGGATCGAACCGCCTTTAAATCGATATACTCGAGCTACCTGATTGCTCGAGTACATCGAATTAAAGGTGAACGCCTGGACACTCCACCTATCACGGCCGAATATTGTACTGCAATTATTTTGCTTTAATTTATTAATCGCACTTTACTGATGCGTTTAATACAATATAAAGTGAGATAGATTTGAGATCCCCGAATTTGATACGACCCGGCGCGTCAGCTCATGCGCTCATACGTGCGTTGTCTATGAAGAGGAATTTCCCTATGGACCATCGACTTTCGGCACGAATTACTAATTGGTTATTTATGCCAGGAACCTGCCCAATATAACCAATTAGTATATATATTAAACTAATTGGTTATATTGGGCACGTCCGTCCGGAGAAGTACCATGACCTCACAGAAGGCCGGCTTGAAGTGGAAGTGCTACAATTCTTAGAGTTTCGTCTGGTGAGTGAGGTAACCACAGTGAGGGACCACTTTATTAAACGGTGGCAACACATCTGCAACCCCACGGGTTTTGCCAATGTCCATGGGTACACTTAACACCTGGTGAACCGTGGCTTGCCACCTTCTCACATAATAAAAAAGTTTTCCAGCACCGACTTCTTACAAGAAAACGTAGTGTAGAACATCACATTTATCAATATCAACAAGTGGTGTAAACGTTTATCAAAAAAAGTCCTGAACCAATATTGGTGGGTAGTCTTTGGGAACGTCCAAGGAAATGTTCAATAGTGAGGATCAACAGGCTATAACGATGACAATAACCGATAATATCTCATCCTTCCCAATATTATAAAATTTTAAAATTGACACTGCATGATAGAAGAGCTTGAACTTAACCATTACTCTAGATAAAACTTACCCACGTATGATTCCGTGGTTTCATATTCATATCCAGGGGGCCGATTTCAGCAAAATTAGCAATTCCACTAGCCGATAGTCCTGGACCTCCTTGTATCCATATTATTAACGGCTTACGATCAGCTCCAATAGAAATCCCATCAGCATAATAAAACCAATAAAATAGATATGCCCCAGGACGCACCTCAACATATTTCTGAATGCTTTTACACTTAATTGCTTTCAGAGACGTTAAATAAGGATTGTCTTCTGTAATAAAATCAGCATCAACTACATAACAAGTTTGTTAGCAACTACAATTCCACTTACTTATAATACTTATTAAATAAAAGAACTGCAATGATAATGTTACAATCTATGTTTTGTTTATGTAGGCAATGTTTTATGTATTTCATATTATAGGGTTCCGTATCTAAAAAGGTAAAAAAAAGAAACCCTTATAAGATCACTCTCTTGTCCGTCTGTTTTTCCTTATGTCACCTCCGATTTTCTCTGGAACGGGTGGACTTAAAAAGTTGAAATATATTATACCAGATACTGAGGTGGACCCCATTAAGTGTATAAAAATCAAGGCCCTGAGTCAACACGATAAAAAGATATGGGAAAATTTAGATTTTCACGAAAAAATTTTTATTATGGCGGCATAATGGGTAGGTACGATACCGGCGTACGAGTTCGACTCGCAATTGACCAGTTTATTTTCTATGAAAAAAAAATGTATTTAGGGATATTTGTGCTATTAACACTTTTATATTTTGCTTACAAACTCCCTATTAGGACAGAGGAATCTAAGTATAAAAATGTCAAAGAATTACCAGCAGAATTATTACTAAATATTTTTTCTTTTGAATAATATTTTTCCACTGTGTAACCTAAACGATAAAATAAACTGAATTAGGATAAAATAAACTGTAAGTACAACAACCCAATAAAATGATCCAGCTTTATGTTAAAATGACGTACAAACCTTCGCATTTCAAATATCCCGCCAAAGACAACAACGTCAGCAATCGCAGAAAGGTCACAAACATTTTATAAACACAGCAATTTAATATACTATACGCCACAAAATACCCGTGTAAACGGCGGAATCACTCAGACACATTTAATAACGCGACTCACAGCATATCGTATATTGAGGTAGGTGATATCATCATCACACCACTATTTTTGTAAATTATAATTACGATAAATGCGAACACATGTTTTAAACCACCACTAAATGTAGCCGTCACGTGCTCGTAGGCGATTTATCCCACGACTATTCTCTAATGTTTACCACATTGCCAATAATCCTTGTACCTTTTACATGATGCATGCACTTAAAGATAATAATGTTTATACCAAAGAGAGTCTGTTCAAGAAAAGTAAACATTATATTAATTCAAAACGCTTAAGATACAAATAAAGGTTATTTACGTAATAAATTGAAACGTTTTCAGTAAAACTTAGGTACATATTTATTTAAAGAACAGATCTATGAATGATCCAAGCACACTGCGGTTGGCCTCATTCTCTTTCCTGTCTCGCGGCCGTCTGTTGGAGTTCGTTGTAGCTTGAGACGACAACATAGAGAAACGTACGTTGTTAATATATTTGGTATTTTGTTTTGATGTTGTTTCGGGCGGCCTGTTAGTTGGTCTTACTTGCGTTACTCCTACTACATGACCAAGCAAACCTCCCACCACACCCGGCCGATAAGTCGCATGTATTACTTGTGCATCTTCATGAACAGGTTTGACATAATCTGGAAGAAGAGAAATCCCGTTATAAACGCTTGATTTCACTTTTTAACAGCATTCATTGTTCGGGTCCTCTTTTCATTTGTCATATTACAGCCCAAAGAAATGATTTATTACTAACGCCGTACAAAATAATTTGTGGTTTATCGATTCTACCAAAATTGTCATGTTTACAATACCTGATGGATATTGATGGGCCGGTGGGCGATAGTAATTGGTGTCGAAGAAGCCTCCTGACCAATATGGCGGTTTTGTGGGTCTACCAATAGGTCTTACAGGATAAACTTGGGGAGGGCGCAACGTTGTCGGTCTTAAAAAGTTAAAAATATTCCCCAAGAAGTATCTGTTATCTGAATTTCCTTTTCTCCTGGCAGATTCTGTGGTTGCTACAAAATTCATAACAAATAATTTTACCTATATAATAAATTTACCATAACAATAATTTTTAATATATTACAGGCCGTGAAAAATGGTATGATAAATGCTAATATCTAAATCTTCAAAGCATTTATATAAAAAAAGTATTGGACTAAAAAATAAAAGAATAATTTATAGAATTCTAAACAGGCAAATAACGTACAGAAGAAGAAAGGTGTTTCTTACCGGAACCAACGTCATTTTCATCATAATCTTCGATTTCCCCACAGTCTTCAGGATCATCGGCAAGAGGTTGTTCGTGTAGATTACTCGGTTGGTCAGGTTGCGAATTTTCATGGGCAAATAAATCGTAGAAAGCCCCAAAAGTTCGTTGGCTGCCATAATTCCTTGTGAGAATCCTTCGGTGAGGTGCAATTTTATTCGTTGGACATAGATAGGGACTAACTGTGACCCCCTCTATTGAAATTATCGTCGCTATAATCTAAATACGAAGTATTCACTTTATAAATTTTACATTAAAATAACTTTGCACACTACCATTACATTTGATACATACACAAAAAAATTTTAGTAATCGTAACATCACTAATCGCCTATAAGCCATTTCGGTGCCGGGCTTGAAAACTAATTAAAAAAAAACAACTTAGTGTCCTCTTGGATATCCAGCGAACATCTGAATGATAAATAAAAGATTCTTGTAACCAATACACTTGGTCTCCCACGCACACGCACAATGAATGACAAAACTTAAGCAATAGCCGCTCCTTATACGAAACGGCCCGAAATTATAACGGATTGTAACGAAATCGGTCCAAAATGTGCAAAAGTTGTTCGCGTATTCAATATTGTTCAAGTAAATTTGAATCGTATAGGACCTTGCGATTACCGCTTGCAGGTTCCAGTTTCCACACCGTATTCAAGGAAATATTCTATTTCATGCGAAAAATATAAATCAACAAAAATAATAAGATGAATGAGATTACGGTTAAAATACTTAAAGTATACTACGGTTACTTTTATTATTCTATAATTCCTTTAAAATTCTGCTCCCAAAAATAAACCCGGAATCGAGTATTCATTTACTAACACTGTACGTCTATAAAGTGTTATGGTTGACCTAATAAAAATAACGTTATAATTCAACGCTGTTCACCAAGTTCTGTATGAGATATTACGGCAGATGTACAAATGGCCCCAGGTGTATAATCTCTTAGATGTATAATCCCTGATAGACAAGAAAAAATATTTATAATAATCCCTCTATTTGTCACAGAGTTTGCTAACCCAAACCTTGTAATCAAAATTTTATATTATGAAACTATATTTGAATCATTCCAAAAATACTCATCATTAAAGGTAATAACTTTCATAATGCAATTCCATATTTGAAACAGATTGACATCAATGATGAAACTTTAATCCTTTTTCATAAAGACAGGCATATAAATTAGATACGAGATTTTTAGCTCTTGGTCAGTTCCAAATTAGTTTTATCTATTCCAAAATAGTTAATATCAATAATTAATTTCAAAATTACTTATCAAGTCTAGTTATATTTCGGCACGAAAAAAGATAACTGCTTTCATAATTTAATTAAGAAAAAGGAAAATTTAACAATATTCGTCTTTATCACGAAATAAAAATAACGTTATAGTTTTCATTCCCATGAAAGATTTATTGAATAAATGATACATTTTCATGTACGGCAGGAAATGTAATGCGTTGCCAATACGTTTTTTCTTAGTCACTGTTTAAATTATGATAGTTTTTAAATAAAAAAGGAATATATTATTTACCATGATAAAAATGTAATATTTTTGTGCCTCAAATTGCCAAACTGCTGTGACATAAATAGCGATCAGGGTTCCTACTAATTCGTATGAATACTTGGGCCCTATTTAGTAAAATTTCTATTAAATGTATAAAATTTTATTACACTAGGATTAAGGTCAGCCTCCGGCCTTGATATTGGCGTTTACCTTTTATAAAGAAGGGATAATATGTGGTTGGTTTATTCTCTAAATGTAAATGGGATTTGCACGTAAACTTCATTCCGAGATCAAAGCAAGGTCAACAACCTGATATTAAGTTATTATCCATTTATTTATTTTTTTATATTATTATTATTCTTAGTCACTGTTTAAAGTATGATAGTTTTTAAATAAAATAAGGAATATATTATTTACCATGATAAAAATGTAATATTTTTGTGCCTCAAATTGCCAAACTGCTGTGACATAAATAGCGATCAGGGTTCCTACTAATTCGTATGAATACTTGGGCCCTATTTAGTAAAATTTCTATTAAATGTATAAAATTTTATTACACTAGGATTAAGGTCAGCCTCCGGCCTTGATATTGGCGTTTACCTTTTATAAAGAAGGGATAATATGTGGTTGGTTTATTCTCTAAATGTAAATGGGATTTGCACGTAAACTTCATTCCGAGATCAAAGCAAGGTCAACAACCTGATATTAAGTTATTATCCATTTATTTATTTTTTTATATTATTATTATTATTATTTTTTAATTCTATGAAACTTGACAATCACCAAATCAATTTAAAATATTATTCTCTTCTATTTCAATCCGGTCTTCTGTAAAGCCGTGAAATTGCTTTGGGTGATCCTGCCTATTTACACAACAGCAAATAATATTGCATTGAAATTTAACTACAGTGAATTAAATAAAAATAATTTTTAGAACTACAATATCAAACCGATTATAATGAAGTTACTAAGCAATTTAAAAATTACGGTTTTGTCACCGTCTGTGCACCACTGACCTGTTAAAAGTCGGTGTTGGTCGTCACGCGCTTTCCTGTAGATCGTGCCGTATATTGGCTTTTAGTGTCCTTATTTTTATTATTCAATTGTGATTTAATCTCATGAATATCGACGCTCCTACATGCTCTCAATTGGATTTCTTACAATATCAAATTTTTCCCGATGATAGGCCTTACAACCTTACACTTCAAAAAAGAAGTTTTTCAAATCAGTTGTACGTTTTTTTTTTGTTTTGTGGAAATTTATTTGTCAAAGTTATTTTCAGAAAATATCGATTATTATCATAGCACCGTAAATTTAACTGTGGTAGGACCACGCAACAGCTTCAGCTGTTGTACGAATGAGCAGATCCGTTCGGGTAAGTACCACGACCTCCCAGAAAGCCGGCGCGAAGTGTCATTATTCTGCGTTACGTCTGGTGAGTGAGGTAACGCAGAATTATGACACTTCACGCCGGTTTATTAAAAGGTCGCAACGCATCTGCAACCCTGTGGGTGTTCCAAATGTCATTGGGCGGCGGTTATCACTTAGCATCAGGTGAAGCGCCATCTCGATTGCCACTTTCCCACACAAAAAACCTATACTAAAGGATTCCAGGAGGTACAAGGAGGCGGAGAGTCCACATGAACCGTTTCGCCGCAAGACTTGACACCTTTCAGCCACCGGAACGGGCTGGGTTTCAGAAAGGCTTTAGTACCGTGGACCACATGCACATAGTGTGTAGCAGTTTATACAGAAATCGCTAGAGTATAATCAGCCGCTGTATCTAGCATTTGTGGAGTAAGAAAAAGCTTTCGACTCTATCGAAACCTGAACTGTTCTGAAATCCTTGCACGATGCCAAGTCAACCGGCAGCACGTGAACGTAACTGAGAAACCTGTAGGTAGAGTATAGCGACGATGTCCATCCCAGTACAAAACCAAAAGATGAAACCCATCAAGCTCAAGAGGAATGAGACAGGGAGATGTCATCTCACTGGAACTGTTTCACCGATCAAGACCAGACCAAGGTCATGTTCAACAAGCTTATCATTCCAGAGCCGATTTTGTTCATCGTTTGTTGCGTTATATTTTTTAATCGGTAAATTTCCTTACAGTACACTATTTAATTAGATCTTTTTGTAGCTAAGAGTTGCAACAAATAATAGCTCTGCCATAAGAAAAAATAAGCCAAATTATTATTTTTCATAAATAAAATTCAAGTTTTGGGATCATGTTCAATCAAAATAGTTATTATGTATAAACATTGGGAAAAAGGTTCATCTACGACTTGACTCTTGTCCTTTTAATTACAACCAGCGTCACGCAACTGCTGGCAGGGTAGACCAGTGACGCTGCCAATATGCACCCTGGGTAATCACCCTGGAATATCGTGATTGTTTTAGTCGGATTAACCACATTCTTGCCACTTCGAGTATCTAAGAGTTACTATCAACTTCAAACTACACATATTAAATACATAAGTGACAGAACCGCTGCATCTTGGGCCGACTCTACAACCTAACTAACCCCTTAAGTAAAATGGGCATTTTAAGGCACGAACTTTTTTTTTATAATAGGCGCAACAACTTTGTAGGCAAACAAAAAATCAGATTATTCCGGCAATTGATCAGCATTTTATTGTTAGCAAGTAATAAATAATAATAAATATTTTAGGACACATTTTTAAACAACGTTCTCTAGTCCCAAACTAAGCAACGCTTGTACTATGGGTACTAGATAACTGATAAATATATTTTTCTTTTGTAAATCATACAGTTTATTGTTCTAATATTTACAAGATCTAACTAAAATTACATATTATCTAATAAACCTAATCCTTTTGTAAATAAATACATATTATACATATATAAATACCCAGATACTGGAAATACACTATGTTCATCACACAATATTTTTCCCAGTAGTGGGGATCGAACCCACACCTTCTGGCGTATGAGGCATGTTCACTACCCACTACGCCAATCGGGTCGTCATATATTTTGGTCGTTAACTCATATGTTTTTATATATAAGAAAAATTAATTCTGAAAACTAGCTTTCCGTTAATTAGTCTATTTGTCTTTGAAAGTAGTTCATGCAATAAAATTGAGGTTCTATGATGATATTTTTATATTGTTGACCAATTCTTGTAAGATTCTGACCCATTGTGTGTATTTCGTAACTTTCTAGGATCTTTGCTTGATATTTCAAAATTATAATTACAGAAAAAGTTAACTTACAACTTTTTATCATAAAAATTAATTGATCAATTGTGGGATCTCATACTCTGGAATTAATTTGAGCCGTAAAATGTTTTCCGATGGCCTTAGAATTTTAAGCTCTCTGTAGTTAGTGTCACAGTCAATACTGTGGTCAATACAAATGGCTAAAAATCACTGACCATTTATGACCAATTTGGAACACTTTTTTAGAGTTCAAATTTCATCATTTGGGTCGCATACTAGATGCGGCCAAATTAAACGTGTCAGTAAAGAGTCGTTAGTATCAAGTGTTGTCTTTGTCGACTTAAGATGTTACTATTGTGATGTGCACTTCTTTACCCTGGATGGAGATCATTTCAATGAACTCGATTGACTTCTTAATTACAACATTCGATTTATCTTCGTAATAATGACCGTGTCACTGTACTGTTCTCAAATGCAGTGGTTACTGATTCACCAACGACGTTCTTTAAAAGCACTGTACCATCTTTACTTTTAATATATCTCTTCTAAAAATAATAAAAATCCTTATACTCTTTCAGACTTCTTACGTTGTTCTTCCATTATCCACTCCACCTTCTGTGGATTGCTCTACCTCTTGAAATCATTGCCGTCAAGAGTCGCTATTCCTTTTAAAGAAAAGCTCGTGAACACATGCTTATGCACCTGTCAGCAGAATCAGTTCATCGTTAATATCATCACTTAACATCAGGTGAACCGCCGCAATTTTTCAGGCACATGATATATACAAATCAATAATATTCTGCATTATCTTCAAGCAAAAATCAACTCATTCTTTAGTTCGACTAAAGTAAAGTAACATAATGGATGTTTTATGCATAATTGTTAATTAAACAATAATTAATTATTTAATTTAATTTTCAACTCCTTCTTTTAGTTTTTTGAGGGATACATGCACAATGAATAAACTAAAAAAATATCGCTACCTACATAATCATCACCATGAGTTTTTTATACCGTTACACAATATTTGAATACAAAATATAAAAATTATTGATAAAAAAGTCAATATGTTGTTCCATTATCAAAGTTACACTCAATGAAATAATTAATAGAGTCCATAATTTCATAATTTTCTAATAATACGATTAATTTATTATTTTTATGGTACAGGCCGTTCCATTCTTAGTCAAAATTCACATTGTCATCATCATTTCAGCCCAAAGAGTACATTATTAATATAGAGTTATCTGCGTCCTCGTGAGACAGCACCATCTCTTCATGCAGGACCAAACTTCAAGTTCAGATGTATATAATTAACCATTTTGTTTTTATAGTTGAGAGCTGTATAGGGAAGATGCAATATTTTCATTTTTGTTTTATTCGAATGGATTTCATGTAGAATAGACCACTAGTATATTAAAAAATTAAAATACTGTAATTTATTGTAAAAAAATGCGGTTTCAAATTGATGATTTAAATCTTCGCGCGAAAACGGATCTACAATTGCGATGACGTCACTCCTGTCTGTCATCTGTCACCTGCCATATAATTTGTCTCTCTTTCAACGCATAAGTTTTGACTTTCTAGAAATTTATTATTATTTTCTTATATAAATACCTCAAAGTACAATAAATAAAAAATGAACTATCTATCAGCATCAGGTAATCATAACAATGCCACTAATGTTCCAAAAAAAATCAGAGTAAATGTAAACTTTAACTCCGGCGTAATTCAATTGAAATAAATTTTAAACGATAGAGAGGGATCACTAATGAATTAATCAACAAGCAGAATTCGGCGGTCGGTTATAGTTTTCGAGAAATAAATATTTAAAACTTGTTATTTTCACTAACAAAGTCCGCCATTCGCCAACGTAATTAATACACAGTTCTGCCAACATGATGAATATAGGAAGCGGGCGACGTCATGTCCTAGCGATTGTTCCATTTATTATTTTTTTTCCTAAATATTTCAATCAATGTCTCACTTGAAAAAAAATTTAATCGATAGAGAAATGTTAATAATCAAATATAGTTTAGGTTATAATCCAAGAAAACTCTTAAATATTAGGCGCCAATACCAAATAAACCAACAATATGAAACAAAAAAGTCAACAATCGCTACGTTATTCATATTGAAATATTATGGACATTTTTTTAAATTTTATATCGATTAGAAATCGATTAAATTTTTTTACAATTTAAATTACTGTGAAATAAGCTAAATTAGGTTTAACATTTATTTACTAATTGGTTAGGTTTATGGTTGCATCTTTTTAATTTATCACGGACCCTTTTCCGATATATAAGGTTCAAAATGAGTCCCAGATCCGACACAGAGCACCCCGACTCCATGTGGTCTTGTGGTCCCTACCCGTAGAGTGAACATAATAAGGCGGAGCCAGAATCTCGCGTCGGAGGCCCTGAGTGGCGCAAGCCCGCGAGGCCAAGCGAAGCGAAGGCCGAGTGGGTGAAGCGACTCTCAGGGGCGACATAGCGAGTGTTCTGGCGAAGCACGTGGAAGAGTCAATCTTTATAAAGAAGTAATTAATTTTGAATATTTATTATTTTTTACATAAAACAACAAATAAGTTAAAGATGAAGATTTTAAAAGCTTTGTAATGAAAATAAATAAAAATAATAAATATAAAAAATGTAATTTCATTATTATATTTAGTTTATAATACATTGATATTTAGTTTTTAATAAGTTAAGGGCTTTTAACCAAGATTTAATAAAATTTGTAATCGAGTTTCAAAATCGATATTAGTATATTGTGTGTAGTGGCTGTATATAATTTTTTCGGTGCCTAATCGTATGTTAAATTTAAACCGGAAGTATTTCCCGCTCATTATTTAAAAACAATAGAATATTGGTTATTCGTATTTGCAATGACGGATAATATGTGTGCGTCTACTAGTAGTAGTGATATTTATGTACATATTGTAATTTAAGTTTTTATTCTTTTTATAAAATTTTATTGAAATCAGAATCAGATCGTTTAGTCCTTTTTAATTTTTTGTGTCGTCATGGAGTTCTTGTAAATACTGTTAAATGTTTTAAATGTGGACTTCATTGGTTATCTGGTTGAGGCACGATTTCGTAAAATTTTCCCCGAACCTGGAGAACGTTTGCACCATTTCTGGAAGAGTGTGAGTGTCCTCTACCCGCCGATGATATAAAAATGTGAGTATTTTAAAAAAGTTTTTTTTGTTGTCAATATCTCAATTCAGCTCGTATTTCTTGGTGGTCATAAAAAAAAAGCTAACATCGAAGGTTAAGCGGTGAACCTTCTAACCTAATCTATCCGAGTCGGATTCGCTCTGTGTCGGTTCTGTGACTCATTAAATTAAAAAAAAATCGGAATATCAAGTTGGCAGAACTGTGTATTGAGGCGCATATCGGCAGGGTCACGGGAACGCTTTCGCACACTTCCGCGACCGTGCCAGCACTGGCCGCCTTAGCAGCCCCCACACGGGGAGTGACTCCCCTCTCCTCCAGGTAAGGCGCGAATCCTTCGAACCCCCTAACACGTAACAATATATTTTTTATTCAATTTTAATTAAGGCTATGACCATTTATTGTCAATTTACAATCAATTGACAATAAATGATCATAGCATAGTCTAGTTGGGTATTAAAAAATGATCAACATAGGATGTGACTTTAGAAAAGCAATTTCACGCAGTTTTCTGATCTCTCTTTCAATGTGAATCTTGCAGTTTTTTTCGACCTCCTTCTTCGCACTTTAACTATTTGGGAATTTTGTTGGGTTAGGTTAGGCACAAAAGACGCTGGGCCGGCCTTTGGTGTAAGGCCGGCCCGAGAGGGCCGCTCCGAGTGGGCTCAATGAGCCTACTCTGGATGCGTGCTGGAGGGTGCAGGGGACAGGTCGAGGGTGGTAGAGGTGGAGCCACTCTCCCTGTCTTCTGCTACCGAGGAGGAGTCGCGGGGGAAGAGGAGTGTCGGTATTGCGTTGGCCGTGCTCCCTATCCTCCGCGACTCGGCAGGGCTGCACCGCTGATGCAGCTGTGGTCGGGCCGCGGGGGGAGAGGAGTGTCGGTATTGCGGTGCGCCATTCTCCCTATCCTCCGCGGCCGAAACGTGGTGAGCGGCGGAGCCACAGATCAGGTCCGCCGCTGGGGGCTGGGAGGCTTGCTGCTTATTAGCACTGGCTCTCCTGGCTCCCATGGCCCCGGTCAGCGAACTCGGGGGAGTTCGTTGGCCGTGAAAATGGGGCCGAGTAGGAAGGCGCGCTGAATGTTCCAGCGCGCCTTACCTGGAGGAGAGGGGAGTCACTCCCCGTGTGGGGGCTGCTAAGGCGGCCAGTGCTGGCACGGTCGCGGAAGTGTGCGAAAGCGTTC